TGCAGTGGTACGCTCCATCGCCCCCACACTCCAATGCGCCTCCGCAAATAGGGCACTTCTCCAATGGACCATAGAACATAATCTCTTGGCTGCAATATCAAATGAAACTAAATTACTGCAATTCATTAGTGGCAATCTTTAGAAGCTTGAATTTAAATTTCAAATCTTGATTTAGCTCAAATTGTATGTTTGTGAATCTTAAAAAATTTGAATTTGAATTTAAAATAAAGTTCTCTAGTTCATAAAAAAGTTTTATTACAAATCCATATACTGGTCTTTTTGTTTGCAATTGAAGAATTCAAATTGTGGGTTTGAAATGAAAGGCTAGTTTTCAAATACTGGCTAATTGAATTATGCAAACTTTATACTTCCTTTTTAAAATGTTTGTCTAATTTTGATTTTTTGTTATGAAAATTAAAAAAAATCTAAGTATAAATTAAATAAAATTCATACTTCCGTTAGCCAAAGATTTTCCCAAATGCATTTTTTTTGTTTGTCAAGAGAGTTCTTCTCATTAACTTTTTAACACATTTAAAATACCACAACTATTTAACTTACTTTATTTATTACACATTACCCGCCTTATTTGATATCCGTCCACCCAACTTTCATAAAAATATTTTAAAAAATTTTCACCTTTTTTGAACTATCTTTAAAAACCATAAAAAGTCAATTTGAGAAAGTTTATGATACAGGGAGAGAAATATTGGATATGAATATAAACATGATTTTACTAGATTTATCTTATAATATATTTTTCAAAATATCATTTTACTTAATAAATATACCATGCAATTTTTGTTTAATTACAAGACGTCAAATATTGATTTTGATTGATTTTAAAAAGGACAAAGCTAGTTGTACCCCAAGTCTTGTATCTCATTTTGTACACCGCATTTGTGTTGGTGTAATGCTAATTTTTGTTAACGCACCAACAATTTGTGTCAGTGTAAATTTTTGTTAACGCTCCAACACTTTGTGTCGGTGTGAACCATCAAAATGTTAGTGCATACATTTGGTAGCATGCTCCTTTTAAAAAATTCAAAATTTGGCCAGGGAGTACATAAAACTGACCATCTTTTGACAAGATCATCCTCAGAGCAGGAGGAGTAATCCTGGCCGTTCACTTGGAGTATGTCCCGCATTTGTTGGACAGAGAGATGATCCCTCGTGGCCTTGCAGAACTTCTGAAACTCGACCGCTCCCATGTCGGTTCTCGGCTTCTTCGGCGGTTCCGGCTTTTCCTCCGCCGCCTTGTGCTTTCTGGTCACCATTCCCTCCTCCCCGGCGTTTGGATGAGCTTGCGGCGGCGCGTGAGACTTCATACGCCCAATTCGCCGTTATTTTGGTTATATTTTCCTTGTACTAGTAGTAGTGGACGTGAAAAGGCCATGGGAAGGCTTTGTTACTCCGTTTGTCTTTCTAATTAATTAATGAAGTCGTGACAGCCTGACAGGTGTCATGTTCTAGGTGCGGACGTGTCTTACTTGGGATGTAACAAGTGTAAATTTCATCCATCCCGGAAATGAAGTTTTTAGGGAGATACTCTCTCCGTCCTCAAATTAACTTCTCATTTGATTTTTTACGGTCTCCAATACGACACTTTGACCATCAATATCTCAATTTTTATATAAATATATTTTATAAAAATTATATATTTCAAAACTATGTTTCAAAATGAATCTATTGTTAATAAATTTATATGAAAATTTAATGTATTTTTTTTGTAATATACGGTCAAAATTTAAAAAGTTTGACTAAAAAAGTCAAACTGGAAAGTTAATTTTAAAACGGAGGGAGTATATGACATCTGGATATCACCTTTGAATTTCATTTTTGGAATTCAAATCATTTTATATAGGCTGATAGCACGAGGGGTAAATGGTGAAGAAAACTCCGTGTAAATTAAACATAAATTAGTAACGAACTCTATAAATAATCTAACACACAATCACCCCCAATATTTGAAAGATTTGCATTATTCTAAAACACACTTTCCCAAAATGGTGGAATATGTTTAAAGTTTGACGTAATTTTTAAAAATGTATAATCACATCTCGGAAAGATTTTTCATAACTTAATACCCGTGCGTTATAGGATATAGAAGTAATTTGTTTTAAAATGCTAAGTATAAAATTTGATAATTTTATAAAACATGTTTATCAGTATATGTGGTGTGGTCTTGTTGACATTGTTCCACAGTTACACTACTACGGTGCTATGTCTTTTTCGAATATCTACGATGCTTCGTTCGATAAAATTGATGGTTCACATCCCCTGTCCGCTTGTACCCCTGCCTCCCTGCCTACTGGAATTGCTGATTGGATACAACCTACATGTCAAACCATCAATTTTATGAACGAAATATTATTGGTACCCAATTAGAACCGGTGTCATCTGTTAATTAATACCTACTTCACCATTATATATGAAGCTAAATGTGGAGTTAAAATATATAAAATTTTAAAAACCTTAAAAGGAGAATGTCATTTTAAATTTTTTTAATTAGTGAGACCATAAAAGTTATATGTTCGTCACTATTAAAAGAAAAATGTTAGGGGTAAACCAATATTGTATCCTACATATCCCACACTCTATCCATAACCACAAAAAAAGGCATGTAAAATTCAAAAAAAGTAAAAAATAAAAACAAACTAAAATGAATGGTAAAAAGGCATGTGATATACATTTGAGGTACACCAAAAGTGTACCTTTGGTGTACCCCTAGCATCTCCCCTATTAAAAATGTATATTGTAATTATGTGTGTTAATGGAAAGCATTTGTATATAAGCCCTTTTGAAGATATGTTGATCATAGATAAATACTCACGGACAGTTTTGACTTTTTGCAATCAATCAAGATCAGTCTTTGATCTATAATTAAATAAAAATTACACGATATTAAATTAGATAAAATCATAGTTTTTGAAAATTTTTTATAAGATAAATGTAATAAAATTATTCTTGTATCAATATCTAATATAAAGTTCTCATAATCAATGGTCAAAGTTAATCAATTTTGACTCTAAAAAAATTAAACTGGACTAATATTCTAAGGCAAATATAATGTCTACTTCTCTAGTGAATCGACACCTCTCTATTGGGTATTGGTGATGCTTTACACTTTCAAACTTTGAATTAGGGATATGTTTTTCTTTTTGCAAAAAAAATGTTATCAACAAAACATAATCCAATAATGTATACGAAAAAATCTTCCTTAATTTATCTAGACCTGATAAAAAATGATCCAACATATTTTTTTACCCGAGATCCAAACCAAAAACCAAATCCAAAATTAATCGAATCCAAAATGATCCACTAAAAATAATTCAAATCAAGCTGAATCTAAACTCAATCTGACCAAACCTATAAAATAAAAATTTCAAAATCAGATATTTAATATGAAATATATTGTAATAACTTGTGCACATTTAGTCTTTTTATTCGTAACATTGACACTGAATCATAAAATTACTTAAAATTTTAAAAAACAAAGTGTAAATTTCATGAATGGTTACCAATTATAGGTAGCTTTCCATATTTAGTCTTTAATTATAAGATACTCCTTCCGTTTGAAAATATTCTTCTTATTTGACTTTTAACGGTCTCTAAGATTGCACTTTGACCACTAATATATTTATTCATACACAGATATATTTTATAATAATCTGATATTTGAAAACTATGTTTCAATATCAATATATTGATATTAAAGTTATATCATAAAACAGTGTATTTTTTCCGCATGTCAGAGTTAAAGTTTAAAAAATTTAATCAAGAAAAGTCAAATGTGAAGAACATTTTCCAAGGAGGGGATTATTCTATAAACAGTCCTCAATTTTTGAGAATTATTCCACAAATAGTCATTTTAACCAAGTATGATAAAATATTTTTTCAATGGATACTCCGTGAAGGATCAATTAAGGAATACTCCCTCCGTCTTTGAATTTGTCTACTATTGACTTTTTTCGGTCAAGATTTGACCTTAAATTTAATAAAAATAATATTAGATATTGATACGAACTAGTTTTATTTGATTTGTTATATAAAATAATTTCAAAATATAAATGTACCTTGTTAATATACAATATACATTTTATTTAATTATAAGCCAAATGTTAAAAATGATTGGCAAAAAAAATCAAAATTTGACAAATACTCATGAACAGATGTAGTAATTTTTTCTAAAATCGAGGACCTTTTATGAAATATCATATAGTATTGGATTAAATATATTGAATTGATCCGAATCTGATGACATTGGATCATGAACATGCATTTCTTAACACCAATCCAAATTTATCTGAACCCAAAATAATACTCCCTCCGTCCCGTTTTAAATCGCTTGTTTTGACTTTTGGACATATTTAATAAAAGAAAAATAAAGTTGATTTTCTAAAATTGCATTACTTTTTAGGAGGGGTGACGATGAATGAGAAAATAAGGTGAAGAAGAGTGACTATTTTAGCTATTTCATTTTTATTAGTTTACGAAAACAGCTAACAGACAACTTATTTTGGGACATAAAAAAAGTAAAACATGCAATTTAAAATGGGAGAGAGGGAAAACCAATCTCCTATCTCTAAATTCAACTGACGAGAGAATGTTCTACTCCCTCCGTCCCTAAATATTTGTCACACTTTCCTTTTTCATCCGTCCCAAAATATATTCACCACACTTCTAATAATGGAAAGTAAATTGGTGTGTTAAGACTATTATACCCCTGCTTTTTCAAAATCCTTAAGACTATTATACCCCTGCAGAGTACGGGAGTGCCGGATTTGCCAGGAAGAGGACGAGGAGAAGGACATGGAAGCTCCTTGCGCCTGTAACGGCACTCTCAACTCTCAAGGTCTTCTTCCTCCCGTCTCTTTTTTCTCTTCTAACATTTCGAATTTTTATTTAATTAATTATTAAAATTCGTTCAAATTCAAAAAAAAAAAAATTGCAGTATTTTTGTATTCCGTATTTTTTCATGCTGGGATTTTGCATGAGTGGGGTCTGAACTGGAGAATTTAATGTCTGAGATTATACTTCCTCCCTATTTTTTCAATTTATGAATCTGGAAGATTATGTGGTCTCCAGATTTTTTATGTTTTCCTCTTTTCATAAAATTTAGTTTCATAATTAAAATGGAACGGGGTATTTTTAAATATGAATTTTAAAAAGTAAAAAAAAGGCATGTTGACAATATTGATGCCATACTAGACTCGTACCCGTGCGTTGCACGGAGTGAAAATTTATTTTAAATTAATATACAATATTTTTTAAGAATTAAAGAGTATTTCAAAGAGTGAGACTAATTTTAAACTATTCCAAATTAGTAGAAAAAACAAAAGTATTTTCAAAATACTTCTTTATAAATCACAGCATCTTTCGAAAAATCTTAATAAGTTGATTCACCTAGAAAAGATGGTGTAAAATTTATGTGAAAACATGTGAATTCAAAGTTCTTAATAACCTTTTTCACCAACAAAAGATTAATGTGAAGCTTATTAGAACGCATGTGAAGCACTAATTACTTCATTTTTCAAAGAAGTTTTGTGAAGCAACTATATCATACCTATGAAGTCCCCCAAAGTAGGGGTGAGCGTAATACCGTATGGTACGGAATTTGGTTCGTACCAATACCGTACCAAATATTTCGGCTCGGTATGGAATTTACATCCTATCGATCTCGATCCTGAAGTATCGGTTTGGGAAGTTTTGGTTTCGGTAAATATTGGGTTGAATATATATATATATATACACACACACACACACACACACACACACACACACATACATACATACATACACGTACTTAATTTACACTTTAAAATTTACAAAACTTTTTATTTTAAAAAAATTGAAAGTACGAAATATAAACAATTGAAAAATTAATATTTAAATGCAAGAAATACTTAAAAAACGTAGTTTAACTTGTACTACACTTCATATTTAACAGAAAGATTGAACAAATAATAAAAAATAGTATTTTAATAATGTCTGTTAATTTTTTATATTCATCTACAAAAAATTAAAATTCAAATAAATGATTGTTTAGTTAAAAGATTGTTTGTAATTCATCGATACTTGAATTGACTTTTCAAATCAATTTATTTTTTAATGAAGAATTATTATAAAAAATATTGTTATTTTTATAACATATTTGTATATATGTTTGGTTTGGATATTTCGGTATGAGAAGTTGTCTTGTATCGATCCCAAATACCAAACTGACTATTCAATTTGATACAGTACAATTCCCATTTTTTAGTTTATCTTTTCATTTTCTCTCCTTTTTTCTGAAAAGGTCTTTTTATTTTTGTAAAAAAATGTTTTAAGAAGTCAAAATTATTTGTATTTTCAATAAAAATAAATGAAATAAAAAAATAGCATACATCCATCTTAAATAATTTTTCTTTTGTTTTCAAATACAAAAAGTAAAAGCTTATTTGGAACTCATCTTAACAAATATTAGCCTTGAGTTTTCACTAATCAGTAAATTTTCTTAAGCCTTTTAAAAGTGAAATTGAGAAAAATCCTAAGTTAAATCCCAACCACAATCTATTGTCAATTAATACACAATTTTGGCTAATAACACTTCACTGTGTTTACAGGATTATGGCAAGATTATTTTTTTTGAAGATTCTACCGAAACCGTAACAATGATAATGTACTGGACTTTTTTTACCATTAGGCCGTTAACCAAATGGTTTACTTCGAAAGGTAAATACTATTC